CTGCTGAAATTCTAAGCAAAGATAAAAAGAAAAAAAAAATTTCTGCTTAAACCCTGAGAAAGCCAAAGTAAGACATTATTTCTTCCTAAATGTTTTGACACATTAAGGAGGTGTCATCTTCTCTGACTCTACTTCTCTTAAAATTAGGGTGACAGGTCTAATGTAGTCACCTAAGCTCCCTACTTTCTCAAAGGAGAGAGACAGTAGCATTCCCAAACACAGTTCTTTCTGAACTAGTACTTAAGATAGAAGGTGCCTGTCTCCATTTAGTAAGAGGGAACCTAGACCTATAAAAGGCAAACGTAGAAAAAAATTAATCCAGTCCTGAAGATATTGGTGATCTTTTGCAATTGCATCTTGATTGTTGCTACCTACAAGCTTTTTATATAATTTAATTCACTACAGAATTATTTTAAAGAAAATATAGTTTAGACAGGGACACTTCAATTAATGTGCTAGTCCAGCTTGCAGCAGAGAATATGCTTCAACAAAATACTCAGATAATTAATACAAAACTGCTTACTGCTTTTCAACTCAGTCTATCCCTCAAATCATTGACAGTGTTCCTCGTTCATGAAGACAGTTAAGGCTGTGAATAAAATATCTGGCTTGTCCATATCTTGTGTCTACTTGAACTACAAGGATACATTTTGTTTTATGAGACTGCCAGGTACTCAGTCTGAAACACTGAGAAACACTCATGCTCTGTATTAACTCCCATTATCTTGGTCCCAAAATAGGGAAAGGAAAAAAAAATAAGAAAAAGAGGTGGCTATGCGGACTTCCATGCAAACTCACTGAGAGGGAAGTACATGCGGTAAGATAATTGGGGTACAATAATTATGCTCTATTTGCTTCAATTGGATTTTGCTGATTTACAAAAGCTTATAGATGGCCAGAAGGCCATCATTAGTTTTCTTTGCCAAAAAGCATATGCAAGGTCCACTAAACCCACTGTACAGTTACACAGATTAACCATACAACATTTACTCTGTCATTGAGTTTTCATTTTCTTAACTCAGTTCACTAAAAGAAGTCCCTGTCACTTTTAATCACGATCTTAGGTATATATAAGTCCCTGGAGATAGACATTCCGTCTTAAGCAACTAGGTAAGCGTTAGCGGAATATCTGAAATGACATGTAGGATTTTTTTTATAATAGTCAATAATACCTATGTAAGTTTTTAATTGGTATCAATATTACCATGAATACAAACTTGCATTTGCAAATGATTTATGAAATAATTTCACAAATAAAATACCTGCAAAATACTAAAAATCTGACAGTAATTAAATAAATCACAAATTCCTTCAATAATTGAGACAAAAATGAAGTAAAAGCTCCTGCAATACACAAAACCTGATTCTTGCTTCAAAACCTCAGCAATTCTATTGTCAATCTATGATTTAAAGCTGACTTTTCTACTTTTCTTAGAAACCTGAAATATGTATAAACACTGTGCAATGAACGTGTAAGAAGGAAATTTTCAGCTAAAAGTACTAAGATCTACTTAACAAAATTTTCAAAGATTCAATTTTTGCAGAATGTGACAACAAGCAAAATCCATTCTTTAACACACAGCTCAAAGAGTATATAGCCATATCCATGTGCCCTTTCTCCCTGTGAGCCACTTTTTGATTCTGACAGATAGGTTTAAATGTTACCTTGCAGGCTTCGACCTGGTGTAAAGTATTTTGTCTGTTCAAAGGCTCTCACCACAGCTGGTCCCTTCAGAAGATTGACAATTGAATCTACCTGTTGGGATCAAAGTTCTGTGAGCGCAATGTTCTTTTTACAGCAAAGATTAGAAATTCTTTCTTTAAGAAATATGGACTAGTGAAAAGCAGCTTTAGATTCCTTCTTACCTAATGGCTATAGTTAAAACTCAAGACTAGGGAATGTTGGACTAAATCTAAGGGCCTGTTTAATTCAGCAGTTTTGAATCATTTACAGAGAACAGAAGGACAAGGAATAAATACATACCATCCAAGGAAACAGTGGAAAGCAAAAGTAAAAAGACAAAGAAGTATTTGCTACAGATATCTTAGCTCAAACATGGACATTAGTATCAAATCCAAGAAAAATAATTTCATACTTGACCAAAAAGATGCTCCAAACAGCTATGGAGCTTGTCCTGTTTATCGTGAGAGATTCGAACACTTATGGGAAGCTCATCACCTGAAAAATATTTAAAAATTGTTTAGAAGTTTCAGTGTATTTTCCAGAATCTTTACCGCTTGGATAATCTGCAGTGCACGAACACTGATGCATAGGCTTTCATAATTATATCCACTATGGCTGTAGGCACAGAAAAACAGGCCTGTAAAGAATTATCCAGAATCCTATGGCATGCAACTGTTTTCCCTGGGTATTTTGCATGAAAGAGTCACTGGATAAAATACAGAAACAATTCGTACAGAAACAATATAGGATTATTTTGTGCTGGAGAGCATCCTAACCACCAGACTAAGTAGCTAAGCACTATAAACCTGTAGCCATTCACCCTAACTTTTTAATAGGGACTACATAAATACTTCACAATCTTAATGCTCGTACTGATGAAATGGTCCTGATGTTTCAGCACTTAACAAAAATACAGCATCCAAATGCTGTATCTGATATGAAGCTGTAAGTAGCTTATAGAGAACCATTTCATGAGACAGTACAAAGGAGAGGGGCTCTCTTATGTCACTGACTTCAGTCACTTGCTCTCTCAGACATCCACATCACTTGAACTCTTTCACAAGCTGATCAAATTTGAGCTTAAAACTTTTCTTCCTCTTTGCTGTTGCAATGATAGATAACAAGCTGTCACTTGATAATTTTTAATCCAATTGTATTTGGCGTCAGTCTAGACTCATTTTTCTTATGTCAGTGAGGCACATATAGCACTTTTCTCTCCTTGTTTTTTTAGCTCCATCAGATGTCCTTACAGCCAGTAGCTATAACCCTAGTCAGGCTTTTTATTTTAACACATGGAGCACAGTGCAGAAGAGCTGTGATCTGGAGTTAACCTGGTCAGCTTTGGAACTAGAATAAAATTAGGTCATCAGGAGAGCGGGAGTTTAACTGAGTGGCAGTATTTACTAACTTTAACTCTCTATCTGGGCTTGGCTAGCACAGATATATTGTTCTGGACACCTCATATATTGTTCAGGTACCTCAGCTGGTACCTTAGCATGATGCTGCATGAGGACATACCAGCTGATTTGCATCCCAGGTTGCAAATCTGATAAGACCTAAAGTCTCCTCATCTATTAATGGTTCATCATCTCCTTCACCATTTTCCTCTGTATCTCCTCCACCCTACATGCATCATTTCTTGAAATAGCTGACTAGAATTGCATAATTCACATGGTTTCTCAGATGTCTTACACAGTGTCACTAATATTTACCTCTCCTGATACTAACAGGGGTAAAATTTTCCTTCTCTAAAGCTGTCTCAGTGGTGGCTCATATTCAACCAATTTGCTTAGTTCTTTCTCTTCTTAAGTCATTCCCAAATGATAAATTCTCAATTTAGAACAAATATTTTTATTATTATTGTTAATCTCTGAGCATATGACCTTGTACTCCATGCAGTTAAATCCCATCTCATTTCTATTAGCAGCTGCATTTATTTAAATTCAATTTGTCATGGCATAAACAAGAATGTGCTTCCATGTAGTCTCACATTCCTTCCTACAAATATACACAAAGGTATCCTGCGTTTTAGCTCCTGGTGCAGTCTGGGAGAGCTTTCCATACTTACCTAAAATGCTCCTTACTCTGTGCCATATAATGCATTCTCAAGGTCAAGGCATGAAAGTGGTTAAAAACAGTCCTTCTCCAAGAGCTCTAACTAATTCAGCCTATTTACAGATATTCTGGAATGCTGGCTCTCTTTTGTAGAAGGACTCTTAAATGCAGCACTAGCTAAGCAGAAATAAAATGATACACTTTTAATACCAGGAAGATGGCACTTTTAAAACAAAAACAGGAAAACTGCTGGGCCAATGAAAAGAATAAAACTGAATAAAAGGAACTGATGACAGATTCATAGGTGACTTTTCTAAACATACCTGAATCCATTTCATCACTGTGAAAGTATGAACTGCATTGACTGCTACAAATGCTGGTGAATGAGGCAATTGAGTTCCTGTTGCTATTGCAGTCACTTGAAAAAACAAAACAAAACAAAACAAAAACAAAATGAGAAATAAAGTCATGTTCTTTAATAGGTTCTACATTAAAGCTTTGTTATTCCCTCTTTTTACTTTAAGGATGAGATTGTCCTTATAATTCTTTACCGGCAACTAAATTTAGGCTATCATGTAATTTGCAGTCCCGGTTTGACTGAGAGGGCCGGACTCCCAAAATAGATAATTCAATTATCTCCCTTCACTTTGTATGTGAACAAGTACTTGCAGACTGAAAATATATATTTTCAGTGCAGAACAACCAACTTTTCTTACATACATGACAGTTTTTGAAGCTATAGCCTCAAATGTTTTAATAACATTACATTTAAATTCTGTTCTTCTAGTCTTCCTAATATAAATGACAAAGTCTTCTGGTTTATGACTTGCTAACTAGAGTCTACAATGACTTTAGAAGAGATTTGATCCATTTCAGTAGCAAAAAAATATCCCCCCAAACTATTTTTCCCTATCAGCCAAAATATAGCTTATCATCCCATCTCTTCCAACTGTTCACCGTGTGAGAGATACATAGATATTCACACCTGTGACTTCACTGCAAATTTTCACACATAAATAATTTCGCCCACATTGGTCTAGTAAGGAGATTTAGGGGTTAAAACATGTATGGAGAAAAGAACAGGTGAAGATGAGCTAGGGTATGAATCTTAGGGTATGAATATTTCTGTTTTGGCTGCTGTAGATATTATACTCATTCACCTCATCTTTTCTCTCAAAAATAGACTATTATGTACAGAAAATAGACAGACAAGATAACTACTTTACAGCATAAAGAGAGTAAAATGTATCTTTATGTACTAAAAATCCTATCAAGATAAATTTAAATTCAAAGTCTTCAACAGTGAGTGATCTAGCCACTTCATGAGGATCGTTTGGTGTCAGGGCAAGAAACTTTGCACATTAAAAGAATTAACCAGCAGAGGGAGTCTTAAAAACCCAAGTGAACGTAAGATGATGTCTAAAAACGTACCTAAAGCACATTTATATGCAGTGGTCTGGTTCTGTTTTTATGAATCATATGTAACATAGCATATATATATCCATACGCTAAGATACACATATTTATATTTTATATATAATGCTGCAGGTATACATGTACCTAAGAGCTCTCCTAGTTGTCCCTTTCTTTCTGTACAAATAGAAGTGATCTTTGATAAGGTATATGTTTTGGACCTGCAGCCAACTCTGTAAGTGAATGGGGAAAACTTTTTAACTGAAGCAAGATGATAGAGCTATGATCATACCCATTAAAAGGGTCAAAAGACATCAGTAACAGCATGTTCCTAACAGAGGGTGAGAACAGTCCCAAGGAGTATTAAGAATTTCTGGCTGGATATTAAGAAATGTTTTCTAACTCTATTTGCTTATGAAAGTCTCCAAAGGGAAGATGAAGGTCACTCAAAACTGCATTGTGCAAAGCATGAGAAAATGAAACACAGGAAAATGAGAAACAGATCAGATGCAACTACTCAGCTACATCATTCTCTGGTTTTATTGTGGTGTACTGTAAGGTTTAGAATGAGACTCTACAACACAAAATGAGAGCATTCTAACTGTTAAAAATAACCTATTAGTTCCAATAATATCCCTAATAGCATTTTGGGATCTGTTCATTTTAAGCATTGCCTGAAGTAATTATTTGAACAAAACAGAGAAAAAAAAAATCCAATCTCACTCTAGCAGGTGTTCTAAGCTCACAAATTTTGTCAATTTTCTGCACACAAAACCCTAAATTTTATCATTGCTAAACAGGCAGAGCGGACTACAAAGGACTGGAATCAGAATAAAGGATGTTTTAAACAAAAGGGCAATCACATGCTAGAGTCGCATCTTCTTTCTCTATATACAAATCTTGTACCAACTGGGGAACTTCAAAAATTCCCAAATTTTGCAAGTGCCAGCCAGTGGAGCAACTCCTGCACAGTTGCTTTGATACATCTTGGACATGAAACTCCTATCTGCATTTCAGCTGGAAATGTGCTTTGCTTGTGTTCACCATGCTTGGAATGAGATGGAATTAAGGTGTGGAAATCATCTCTACATTTAGTTCTGTTCAAATTTATATATATATTTCTGTTCCTACCTCTGACAAAGAGTTCCTATTTACCATGCTGCAGTAATCAACTATTAGCTCATGAAAGAAATCTCAGCAACATAAGAAAAACTATGTAGAAAAACTATGACCCTACTGGGATTTTACTTCCTAAGCATAATAATGCACCATAATAATAAACAAATAATGAACCCTTATTTTACTTGCTGTTAACATTTTAATTTAGATTTTATCTCAAGTGTACTTAATCAATTCTTCTTTCTAAGTAATAGAAAAAGGATCTTGCTATAATTACTCTTTCCTTTTAAAAATTCCTTATATTTTAATTCACAGTAAAAGTAATGCATTATAAATTCTACAGATGCAATGATGCTACAGTTTTAAGCATGGAAGATGACAGGGAATATATGTTGAGCTTCAGATTATTTTTTTTCTCAAACCAGCAAGAGCAGTGGCTTTGGCATCTGGCTTTCCACGGCAGATATTTGGTTTCTTTAGGGGAACAACCTAAATTAAACCTCTTTTATATTGGATTCATGGATAAACTAATGGAAAGCTTTACAGCTCTGGCTGCAATAGCCTGTAAAAGTTAAAGAAACCAAAATCTAATAAGGAATCTGTAATCATAAGTAAAAGAGAAAGTTTATTTAATGTTGTAGCACATCTTGATGCTAGTTATTCCTCTGCCAGAGACATTAGAATCATTGTATTTTGATATGCCTTATGGCCACTTGAAGGATTTGATTCATTTGGCGGACAAATGAAAATATTACTAGTGAAGTTACCTGTAAGAATCCCTGTTGCTGATGGTGTCATGACCAGAATCTTCCTGTTCATCACCTGTCACACTGAAACAGACCTTCTTTCCATTCCTTTCTCCCTTTTCATTATCACTGTCCGCTGGTATTAAAGGCTCAGGCGTTTTACGTTCTGATTTGGGAGAATATGTTATTGAAGAAAGAAGGCTGTGAGGTAAAAAAAAAAAAAAAAAGAGGAAGGGAAGGGGGCAAAAAAATACATATTTTTCAAAAGTGAACTACCAAGAGGATAACATTGTCAATCAGCAGTCTCCAACAAAATAATATAATGTTTCTCTGTTATTATCATTCTGCAATAAGTGAAGAGAATATCTTAATCCAGCCCATATCTATTTGAAATAAAGGGAAAAAGAACACGTTCTGCTATTAAAAAGTGTAACTTGAATCATACTTTAATTAGTGAAACTCATCAGCATTACTCAATACTCAATCTAGTATTAAAGCAATAATTCTTCTTGGGGAAGAAATGTAGCACGTGTGTGAACACTTAGGGTCACATGTTAATATCAATGTAAATACTATTAAGCATGAATCTTGTACCTTTCTGTACAAACCAAGAAAATAAACCAAAGAAACTACTTTTTTTGTGAAAAGCATGCATTTCCTTAATTATTACTGTGCCAAATATTCCCGCCTGCATCACAAACATACTAAAGCATTTTAAGAAACATTGTAACTGCACCTGTGTATTTCCTAATATTCCAAATGTCTAGCCTCTCTCAGTAGTAAAATTGATAATTAGCCTACAAGCTTCTGTGAAGAGCACAAAAGTGACATCTAGTCAAGAAACAGAGAACAGTAAAACCTGTTGCTTTCGGGAAAACACATAAACATTGGGAGCAAGATTCCTATTTTAGAGCAGTTAATTCATATTGAGAATGAGACCATCTAATTTACCTTTGAGATCAGAATAGCTAATATGGACATTTAATTCCTACTACTCAAACTCTCCAGTATAATGAAGTTTTAAAATTAGTATTTGGATTTGAAAGGCAGCATTTTTCATTCAAAAAATGCTTTCTAAATTGTCATTTTTCACTGAAATCAGGAGACCCTGAATTAAACTCTTTAAGTACCTAGACACAGTAGTAGGATTTTTCTAATGCAGGAGCTGTCAGAACGGTGAGCATTTGCAAATACTTTACTTCAGACCAAATATATAGCAGAGCTCAAACATACGACAAATCGTTTCATTGCACTTGATTCTTACTTGTGAAGGGGAATTTCTGGAGATGCATAATTTTTGTGAATAAAAATGCTGTCCTTAATTTTATGAAGAGAATTCAGAATTCCCTCCTTTACTCTTATTTCTCACAATACATAGTAGTGCTGTTATATTATTCATGGGGGGACTTCTGATTTTAAGCATTTCAGAGTTCTACCTTAATTTTGTGGGGCTCTGCCAGTTGAAATAACCAGGTCTTAATCCTAACAAAGTGACAATTTATTTAATAATTTTGTTCAGCTACAGTTACCTCCAGTACCAAGCTATGAATTTCTCTACTATTCTGAAAAAAATATTCTACAGGAAAGCAACATGATTCTAATCTCTTCTTGAAAGTTGCAGTTTCTGGACTCAGAAGAGTGGCATTTCGTCTACAAAACGTTTTCTACAATGTTCAGCTGTAACATTTCTGAGTATAAACAAACAATTTCCTGAATCTCAGTAATGGACAGATATTTAAGTAAGAAATTAAGAAATTGCACACTTTGGAAACACAATAGGACAGATTATCCCTATAATGCTGGATTTCTTCTTTAATAGCAATGAACACGTAATTCAGACAGTATATCAAGCACCCTCTGATTGAAACCATGGCCTGATAGATGTTAACAGAGGCTTTGACATTAACTTTAGAGAAATAAGGATAATAAACAAAGCTTTTAAACAAATCATTTGATCATTTCTGCATAGCTTTTTCTGAATAAGAGCTAATAGGAAGAAGACAGATACAAATTTTTATCCTGCATTTAGGAAAAAGTACTTATCTGATATCGTAAGATAGACCTTATGATAGCTGTCTTCAGATAGATAATAGGATATATTATTAAAAAGTATAATTTTTCTGGACTTTAAGTTCACCCATCCACTAGACAGTCAGTCTACACATTGGGCCACATTATGCCTTAAAGGTTCTTATGCTTCATACTAAGTGTGAAATCACAGCTCAGTTCTTCTCCATCACATAAGACACCTGTTAGGAGGATGAAGGCAAGGAGGAAGATGGGTCACATATTTTACTGCGCTGCTCAGGTTTAATCTACCTCCTCGATCAGATGTGTTCTTGAACATATCCTAAAACAAATGTGCTATGAAAATGTAGGTCTTAAACAACCAGTTCTTTGTACTTGTAAAACTGATTACCTACAGAATTTTCTGATTACCAAGATACAGAAGGAGTTCTAAAGGAGATCAGTAAAAATTCATGGCAGATCACTCTAACAGATCATTCTTAAAAACAACAGTCCATTTCAGGACATCCTTACAGTGCTGCCTGTTGGAAGATAAGAGGAGATAAGAACAAGGATTAATCTCTACTTTTCCTTTTTGTTGTAGTCCTGCTATCGTCCTCTTTTGGAAAAGAAAAGTGGGCTTTGCTATGATCCATTCTGGTATTTTTCATGGATTTTGTTGTTGTGAAAATTATTAAGAGTAAAAAACAGACAACAAACGCAACGAATTGCAATTTCAGCTGCTGAAATCATCTTCCCTTGACTACTTATTCATCAAGATACAGGAAGACTATTATATCCTGTTCTTTTAAGCGACTGTTTAGTCAGTGCTGCCAAGATCTCAGTAGAGGACTGATGAAGGTAGCTGGATCTTTTCATAAAGGAGCTTTTCACTTTCTCCCTGCAGGCAGGCTCTTTTTCCAAGGCAGATTTTTTTTCTGAACTGCTATGAACCAAAGTGGGAACTTTGGATAACAGCTCTGGAGCTGCTCGTTCCTGAGGTCAGTGAAGAGCGTTAGAAACCTGATTCAGGGAGTCTAAAGCACAAGAACACAAAGGTGGTCTCAAAATATCACAGTAATCATGCTTACTATGATTTTTAAAAATTTGTTTTAACAAAGCACTTGCACAGTGTATTTTCTTAGATATGGGTACATCCCAAACCAAATTTTCTTAGATGTCCATCTCTCTTTCCGTTAAATTGACAGATTTAAAGCTTAACCAAAAAACATTTTCCCATGTGGAACTGATCCTGTATGTAACCCTAATCAACACAATTCTAAAAGTATGTCAGAAACAAACAAAGCCCACTATGGTTCCTCGAGACACTAATAACGGATAGCCACAGGCAGCAACAAAAAAACATGTGATAGGTGGGCTGCCCTGCCTTTTCCTTACTCCCTGCAGACACAGAAGATGTTCCAGCCTCTTGTCTGGCCTCATCAGACATCTTTCAAAAAATCACCTGTGATCCTGAGAACATATTTGGCTACACGTCAACCAAGAATATAACAGAAAGTCACCATACAGAAAACAGCTTGAAGAAGTACTTATTTCTGTGTAACACCTAGCATCAACGGTCGAGATCTTTCTCAATAATGATACTAAGGAAGCACTGTGATACTGTTAAAAATTTTTAAACAAGGAGTCAGGGGTACTTTGAGAGGCTGTAGGAAGGGGATTTTTGTATCTATTTCTCTTCATCGGTACTTCTTTTTCAACCTAATCTCATCCAGGAGCCTCGGTGAAAATTACTACGAAGATAATGATAGGATTACACAATCCTCTTACACATCGCCATCCCATAATCCACAAGCCCCTGCAGATCTGTTCTTCAGGTGAAACACACTTGTTCTTCAGTTCTCTTTCTCCCAATAATAGATAGGAGAGGTTGGGTAGGTAACACTGCCCTCAGATTTTAGGGGTAGAGAGAGAGACCAGCACTGATTTCATATGAATATTCCTGAACAAAGCACAGCTATTTGATTATTCTTGTATTACTCAATCTTTTTTTTTTCCCTTTGCAGTCCTAACACTTCTCTCAAGAGTTAATTAATAGCTGTAACTGTGTTCTAATACAGTACACCACGTACTGCTTAACTGCTCACACCCAGATAGTCCCAGCTTCCCTCCTTCCTGTTCAGTTCTTTTAAGTAGGTTCCTTGGGTATCCTGTTTCCTGTATAGAACTGCTTCCCTCTACAATAATTATACATTGGTACTCCACTCAAAGGCCACTGTGAGGAATAAAGCATGAAAGGTCTGAGTCTTAGAGAAAGTAAAAGGTGAATCTGGCTAAATAAATCTGTGCACCTTGTGCAAGCTCTGCTGCTGGGTCAGTGCCCAAGAACTTTACGAAGGAATAAAAAGTTAATCCAGCCTCTCTTATGTTTACTTTCACAACCGTGTGACTCACAAACTGAATATATTCCTAGGGATAGTATATTTACATGTGTATGAAAGAAAGGCTCAGAAGTTCCTGTGCTTTTACTTCACTAACTCAAGGGAGTAAAAATGAAAGGAGTGACAGACTGGTAACTGAAAATTCCTGAAATATTGCCTGAATTTCCTCTTACAACCTACTGACTTGAAGAGTATTGACAATACAAACTTCATAGAAAATTATTTTTTTAGTATAATCAAGCACATTAAATTTGATCAACTGACTTCAACTTTAGCATGATTAATTAGCAGAACTACTTTAAAAAAGGCACAGAAAGCAACACTTTCTTTTAAAAATTTCAGGCCATACTTCCTTAATGTATTACAGTAATACTATTACAGTATTGTAATACATTACTTATATTACTATTACAATACTAGAAAAAAAAAATCACTACTCAGAAATAAATATAAATGGCCAGATTATTATACAGACTTCAAAATAAAAGGAGAAGCAATGATATGCACCACTTTTCAAAACTGAAGTTCATGAAGGATTGGCTTTTAAACTCCAACATTTCTGTTCCTGATGTCTTCAAAAAGCATCATTTCTGACATTGGCATGACATATGGGATCCTTCAAAACAGAAAGACCTATCATCCTTCTTCATCTTCATTCCACGGGAGCTAATAGCCTAGCAGTAACACACTCGCCTCACAACCGGAAAAGTGACTTTAAAATCCCTGCCCTGAATCAAGTCAAACTGCGATGTGAATCTAGATTTCCCACATTCAGGCTTAATCACTCAAGAGTCTCTCTCCCTAGGCCTAGTGTTCATTAAAGCCAATTTGTTCTCCAAAGCGCCTAATGAATTAATAATCTTCCTAAGGAAAAAAGGCCTTGCCCAAAAATTCACCTCCAGGACTATTCAGCAATATCTGATGAGTTAAAAGCTATTTTTTGTACCTCTGCCCTTTGCTTCCTTTCCTAGTGAAATCTCAGATGACATGTGGGTCTTATACTCCTCTCACCTCAAAATTATTAGAATTTCCACATTCTAGAGAAAAGCTACAAAGTTAAATGGAAAACAATCAGAGACATTAGAAAAAAATAAAAGAAAAAAGTTTAATATTATCTACACTTAAATTTTTTGCCTTATTGCAGTTCCATCTGAAGTCATCATCGATCACATACTGCCTACACAGAAAGAATATCCACATTCATCAGTATCTTCAACGGAAAAACTAAAAAGTCCAAACGGTAACGTTTACTTACTCATCTATCTGACAGACACATGTTTCCACCTCTCTCAGTGCAGCTTGCAATTTGAACAACAATTTCTGATAGACATCTTGTGTTTCTAAATCTTCTTCTTTTAAAAGGTACCTCAGACCATGGCCCTCTTGCTGGCCAAGAGACTGTCCGGAGGGGGCAGCCATGGTGGTAATAGTATGCTGAACATAAATCATAGGATTCAGTTTACCTGGGAACAACCCAAACAAGGTTACATCAGTATCTTTTTTCAATATAAATTCTGAAGTTAGCAAAATAACTAATAGTTGAAATATCTCCTTGCTTAAAATATTAGGTAATTATGTAATTTTGCATGTTATTTTGCTTACCAAAGTTAAGTTACTCAAGGAAAGAATGTGAGGTTATGACTATCCTTTATTATGTTTTAAGGTAAACCTAAATATTAAAAATGTGTCATCCCTAGTTTTAATATTTGGGACACTTAATATTTTAAGATATTATATCAGAAGTAGTGGAAGTGTTTCTTCTTTCAAGCTCACCTCACTTACCTTGATCAGTGCTTTTATTTTCTTTTTCATGTGAAGAATGCTTTCTGCTGTCTAACTGTACACCAAAGGCACTACCAAGAGAAGTTGAGGTTTTAGGGTAAGAGACTTCCATCACATTGATATGGCAATTGGTTGGACAGAAATCACTGCTGTGAAGTGGTGAAATCTTTGACTTAGCTTGTTTGAACGTAGGCCAAGCTCTGTTTTTCAATACTCTTGAAAACTAGAAGTGAGAAGGAAAACAAATTTTTGATTAACAGTTTTTGACATGTCAGCACTTAATTGACAAAACTTGGGCACCTGACTAGAAAACAAAAGTTTGAAATACTTCAGAAAATACTCCTGGCTAGACTTGACTTCATATTTCCGTCTTTCTCTATAAAGGAAAGAAAAATATTTCTCATTCTAGATTTTTTGTATTTTGGTTTTTGAAGTAAATGATACATTTTACGAATGTAAATAGCCCTGTAATAAGGAGGATGAATTAATTTTATTTTGAACGTAATAAAATATTACAACTTTTCCTGAGGAGAAAGTCTAGAAATTCTTTGTGATCTAGCGCTGTACTTAATACGACGTTTTAAAACACCTGCTGACAAAGACATTTTTAAGAGAATGTCTAACAAAAATTTCTGAATCCTTTGCCTGAGGCTATAATAACAACAGAATTGGAAGCTATGAATTATGAATTTCATACCCAGAGAGGATGAAGTTGATAACAGACTACAGCATAAATTGCAGACAGCCTATTTTGCAGACTGCGACAGTCCACCACCTCTTCTGTCTCCCATATCTCTGCTCAGCAAGGATGAAGGCATTTTTATTTCTTTTCCCTTTTATGGTCTAATTCTAAGCCAGTGTTTGGCCACGTTGCCTTCTTTATAGCACCTGAATTTTTGTGCACACTCCTGAACAGTCTTAGAGTTATTTAGTTTTTAATGAGATTATGTCAACCCAAAATGGCTAAGACTGAGCTGTGATAGATTAGGGCAGTAAGAAAATACACCAACTTTAGAATCATGAAACTCATTAGACAAAGCCTTCTCAGTGGAAAATGAGTGTGTCGCCCTGTGCACCAGATGTTTACTGAATGGACAAAGAACAGTTATTTTGCTTCTACAACTTTCCTCCAAGTCAACTAAAGTTCTGTCCTTTGTTCGCTCCCAGCAGCATCGTTTTCTCCCTATCCGAAGAAATGTTACTTCACAGAACTGTATCTTTGCAAACTCCGATGATGAACGTATTGTGAATAGAGTAAATGGTAAAGTCTTGTCAGTCACAAGGAGAATTTCTGCAAAAATGTGTGTCCCTTTCAATGCAATTTGGTATTAGGGGAGAATTTCATGGAAAAGTCAGAATCCTCGATGAGTCCATGGTATTTTAACCACAGCATCTCTCCAGTCAAAATCCTACCCGAACCTATATTACTACCTCAGTCGTGGAGCATAGCTTATGCATAAGAATATTTTCCAAGTTAACTTGTGAAGTTTGTCCTCTACTAAATGGCAGTATAAATTCAATCAATCAATCAGGTTTCAGCTGACACTTCAGCTGAATAAAGGTATAACGCCTCTAAGTAATAACAGGTTTTGGTGCTGGGATTTAAATCTCTGCTCATTTTGATGACACACACTTTAGCCTGATGAACACTTCTGTGCAACTGATTGATAAATTACGCTTAAACCTTTGTATTAGAACAAGATCTGGAAGATTACAGGAAATTCAATTACGGAATTGTTCCAAGGCTGAAGAATGTACAAATAGTTAAAAAGGGCACTAAGGACTTTTAACGATGAAAATGTTCTTGCAAGCAGTACATATTTCACATTTGAATCTCCCACACATCCTGTTCCACAGAGAGCAAATGCCTGGCTACGATTTAATCAGGTCATAAGTCAGGCCCCAAATTCTTTTCATTTACGTGTTGAGAAACATCTGGGACTCATGGCACCGGACTCCAACATGAGCAAAATGTTCTGATAATAATAATAGGAACTGCAGAAAGCTACTGGGTTTCTATTTATAGGATTCCGACTTTCACAGTGAAACCAACAGCCAAGCTACGCTCAGGCCTCCTGAAAGACTTCCGTTGCCATGGTTACCTTTACCTTGCCAGGAAAGGGACATACCTATTCCTGAAATTTATTGCATTTTTAATGGTCATTAAAAATACTAACTGTAAAGCTATTAATTTTCGACAAGATGAGCTTGAGGCTTCTAAAAGTGCCGTTTATATCAGTAATATCTCTCGCTAGCACTACAAAAACTTCCTCATGGCTGCTCATTCCACATCCAGCACAACACGATAAAATGTCATGTATTGTGTGTCTTGGTCTCTTGTAAAGAGACCGTACATCATGCTTAAAATGTTTGTGCTTAGGAAAGGTATAAGCACACCTACCTCTTACTCGAACTCCGAACATACTTTTCTGAATGTTAAAACTAACGAATAGGCTTTTGAAAAAAAGTATTTTGATTTTGACCTGATTTTGAAAAACCAGAGGTTTATAACTTAGGCAAGCATCTGAGAGCCTGGATGTTTAGCAGTGTTTATCGGTCATATCAGAATCTTGTTGATGTCTCTTTCTGTCACCAAATTCTTTTGTTTACTCCACTTCTTGTTAGCGAGCACAAGAGCACTCTGAAAAGGCTTTGGAAAGCCGCTCTTTGGCCTTGGTCCCTTACTGAAGTATCCCTACAGGCTTCTCTCCTTTTCCCTTGGAAAACAAGGAAACATTATGTGGTCCTTTCCCCCCACCTCTTGGAACTGGGTGAAGCTTCTACAGCAAAGCTCTTTTCCCTCTTTTTCTTTTTTTTTAATTTTTGCAGAGTGCTTCTCTGAACAGATCAATTTGTAGACGTCGCAACCCAGATCATAAACTGAGATGACACAGGGCAGAGCCAGTTCCAAGTAGCAGTTTGAGGCCTAGTTCAAACTAGCTCGAAATTCCTAATAATTAGGTTGCATGGGAGAGGAAGCAGAAGCTAGCATGAGAGACTAAGTTTGCATTAACAAACTGACAAACGGTTCATTAATTTATGCCCTGCTTAGCTGGACAATCACTGAGAAATATACTGACAGTAGCTAAATGTCATACTCCAGGTACTTATTCCCTCAGATTTCATTAATTTACATCTTGGATGTATGAAAGTCAGCACCTTCCACTTATTTCTGTAGTACAATTTTTTATTAAATCAAGTTAATCTAATAATTTACAGAGCTATTACTATCAATAATCGTGCTAGAAAAAAATCATACCAATTTGACGGGCGTGAATAAAAGATGAATAACAGTCTAACAATCTGATATTTAAAATTAAGGTTCATTAGAAGAAAAATTATTTCCACTGTTATTGTTTCATTTTTTGGTAACATCTGCAAATTGACTGAGTATTCTTTTAAGGCATTTACAAGAATGCTAGGCCTTTTGTGGGAAATATGCAGTTGACTATCCACAACTGAACGCCGCAAACAAGAAAGGTTATGATCTATCCGGTGTCTAAAAAGGGATAAAATCAAGCACAGTTTAAAAACATAATTTATGTAGTTACACAGTTTAGCCATTCATGCCTCATAACAGCTACACTTTCAGCCACATTTCTATCACTGCAGTTGACATCCTGAAGAGTATTTCAAACTGTACTACTTTTGTCTGTTTTTCCTTTAAAGGATAAATATCAGCAAACTACAGATATGGTGGTCTTACCTTTTTATAACTAGAGATTCTTCGGCAGATATGCTCAATTTTCTCACTGCAAATGACACTGAATTTACTCTGAAGCTCGGTGGGGATTACTTCATTTAAGGAATTCAGGCTGCTGCAGTTCTGGACGAAATGCTCATCACTTTTTGCCAGTGCTTCTAGAATCTACAATAATCAAAACAAAAGCAGTATACTGTGAAATAAGATGACTGAGATATCCTTATTTATCATCTCTTATAATTAAGGCAGAAAAGGCTAATAATCAGTGGCCTTTAACATTACAGGCAATGCTGCATAACAAAAATGAATGAAACCTGGGAAGTAAAGATTTCTTCACGTTTATCCCTGGGATAAGTTACACCAATAACAAACATTTATACTTAGCTTCTTATGACCTCATCTGATAATGGACTTATTAATAATTGCCTACTGACATAACTCAATGACTCACCTGAAGTACATCTTCTGCTGAATTTACCTGAATAGTATATATTTCGAAAAGCTGATAATCAATTGCAATACCCGTAGCAAAACTGATCTGGCAGTATATGCAATACTAAACCATTGCAAAAAAACATACAAGAAAACTGAGTGCCATCTTTTTGAAAGCCCTGTATATACATATACCAGAAATATCTTAGGATTTAATGTTATCATCATGTGCAGTATACTCCAAATAGTTAAGAATCAGAGTACAGTCTACTCTGCATGTCAGCTGAGACAGTACAAAGGGTACAAGACACTTCTTTATGTACATGAAGAAAGCACTGCATTAAAACCCAAACTTATGCTTTTGGCCATGATCTGACCCCCTCAGCCTTGCTCTGGTCCGGATTGTGACACTGATTCCTTGCCACACACCATGCAACTGGTCTGTACTTTCTAGGTCAGGCCCACCAGTTTTATGCAGTTGCTGCGCGTTCCTTGTTTTAACCAGGTCAGAAAAACCACGCAGGTCATCGTGGATGGCTATAAAAAGGGAAATGGTGAGCTGAATAATCTATGATTCTCAGCAAAGACTGTAGATTTATCTTGCTATGATGAAACATCACCAGCAAATGATGGTGACAGGAAACTGACAACAAGGTGTCATAAACGTTTGAGGGTAGAATATACTCCTATTTTGGGGGGAGTTAGAGATTTATCTCAGGAATTGAAATTCTCTGTGTGTTATGAAACAAGGGGGATACCTATTGCTGGTTGAGCCCTACTCTGAAGATATGATTGAAAAGGATACCTGAAGAAATAACATTTTAACAAAGCCATCCAAAATCCAGATTAAGGCAGCTAAGCAGAAAGCCCCTGCATATTAGAGATACTGAGCATTTCTTAGGCAGGTAACTTAGTTTAGGTGCCTAAACTATCTCAAAGCAATATGTTTAAAAAACGGAAAGATGTTCACTACTGCAGAGTTTTAATTTGTTCAATGAACTAATATGAAGGTGCTTTTATCAGCTGATACCAAGCTAGTAGCAAAGATCAAGTCAGCCAGTCAGTATAGTAATTGTGCAAAGTAATCCCATAGTATTAATGAAAACTGCTCTAATCATCATTTCATTATTACATCAATTTGCAAAGATGTCTGGACAAAACACATACAGTAGCCATACAAATATTATCCATTATGAGAGTTATATCTACAATTCACTTCTGCAACAATTCATCATTATTCTGTCCAACATCGCATATGTAATATACGCCGTATAAGCCTGGCCCAAGAGTTTGGAAAAAATGACTACCTACAGAAATGTCGGAGTGCAGAATCTCAAGTTTTTCAGAAATAATAGACTCTGCATGAGTAGAACCCAAGAGAAATTTTGTCTTAGGTCCTCAGCAGGATGAGCTGAGGAAAGCTTTTAACTCTTTTGCTTCAATGTTCAATCACTAGATTAATTAAAACTTCCTAGTCATTTTGGTCACGCTTGTAAGTTTCCTTTGCATCAGGTCTAACTAATAATACAAATTCAAATAATTCAAGATGCTTGTTTCATCTGTTCTTTAAATTAAATGCATTCCAACCCAGTAACTTTTACAGCATAACCTGGGACCCTTTTTCATCATAATAATACGGATAGTAAAGCTTTGCGCAATATAGGGAAGGAATACAGGATTACTTTACTCCCCTGCTATATATGATGCAGAATAGAGTAGTTGCGTAATAATGCAGAGCAATGACAACCATGCAGCAAAAAGAAACAGAAACATATGGAGAGAAACATAAGATCCCATTGAAAGTGCAGGGAATTCTAGGTTAAGAGTATTTAAAATCATTTGCAGATATTTATATCTGATAAAGTGCCATTACAATTTTTATTATTGTCTTTGAGTTAAATAGCCTGTTTTTTCTGCCACTGAACATTTTGTAATTCTTTACACCAGTATCACTTGATATCCTCTTTATACTATTCTGACATAATTATATCTCCTTTATACTAGTATATTTGGCTACAATAGCTTTCTCTCGGTGAAAAAAGAACAATGCAAGACAATATCCATTTGTCCTGTAGGCCAGTTACTCCTGGCACTCACATAAGACAATAATTTAACATAAATTTCCAATATATCAATCAGCACACCGCAGGGCATGACAGAAACTCACTTGGGGTAAAGTCAACTGAAAGCAATTAATATGCATTCTTTCCCTGCAACATATATTGTTCAGTCATCTCTGAATAATTATTAAACCAGCTTAAACTCTAAAGGCAACGACACTGCATTATTTAAGGCCAGATCAGTGTGCTGGAAGTACTTGTTTACTTATCAATTACTCCATATATAGCAATGGAAAAAATATTTCTAAAACAGTTAGTAAATAATATCTTAAATATGTTACATGAAATTTAACAACAGTAAGAATAACTTCTTTCAGGCCAGTCACCTGAAGCATCGACTAGACCAGCTCTAGCAGTTCTCATGATGTTTGTGCAAGAAGTTACTCCCCTGTTTGCCAAGCTGGCCCACTGCAGAGGTTACAGTTTCCAAAGTGCAGTCAGTGAAAGGGAACACATGCCCATGACTCAGTCATTTCAGTGAAAGCTCAGAATCTTAGCTTACAGTTTTCATGGAAAGATCAACAGAAGAAATTTGCAGATACTGAATATACTCCCCCAAAATGTTGCACTTTCATACTTTTATTAAGGATATTTTATTAACATGTGTGTGAAAAGATAAAAGAAATTCAAAGAGCTGTATTCCTACATTTGTCATTCTGACCCTGACAACACCAAATATAAATAAATAATCTTTGCCATTTGTAACAATTGAAGGTTTTATCATTTGGAAAGACTCACAGAGAAAAACTCCAAAGTAACCTCTAAAGTTGCAGCTGTCTTCCTCCGCATCTGTGATTTTGCAAATGTGTGTTCCTGTGTATACACAGTTTGCTTTTACTTTAAGACACGAAAAAGACAGCTGTCCTGCTACTTTTGTTACTCTCCCTGAAACAAATTAAAGAAGTGGCACATGCAATTCCGATGAGATTAAGGAACATTTGGAAACTACAGCCTACCTTCAGAAAGTTTTGACATTACAATCAGTCTTTGACTTTCTTTGAAGATTTTTTCTCGATAATTATAAAAAAGGGGGGGGGGGGTGGAAGAAGAGAAGATTTTTCAGTTCTTTCACATTTATTCACCTTAGAAGCTCAATTTATAACCACACCATAACTTATTTTGCTTCCTGACTACACAAACCATCTTTGCAATGTCTGAGGGACAAAGGTGACCCACAATTATAAGATATTAAGTGAAATACATATAAACAGAATGAATCAGATGTTACATTAGCATTATTAAGTATAATAGAAATTATTACATACAAAAATTGCTTCATACCTTTGCAGTCAAGCTGAAAAAACCCTTTGGCTCAATCATCTTCTCTAACACATGGCATTTTATTCCAGCTGTGCTGTCATACTCGTAAACCACTCCATACTCCAGATGAACATTGTCAACAGTCAGGCTCACATGATCTTTCTTCCCATCAATTATTGCCATAGTGTTAAACTTGTCAATTACCTCTAAAATAAAGAAAATAACACAATCAATCGAGAGGAGGGTTGACAATTAAACAAAAGAAAAAGGATATAGGCAACATTTCCAGAAATAGGTATGCTTTCATCATTCTGTTTTAAAAAGTACACCAGCTAGCAGTTGAATGATTTAAAATCAGCAAGTCAGTAGGTTTATGGCTGCTAAAATACGAGCTTGATGAGCATGAACA